CACACATCCCAGAATAGACTCATCCCTCAGTACCCATAGGGGTTGGTTCCAGCACACCACCCACCAGGATACCCAAATGTGAGGCTGCTCAAATCCCATGTATGAAATAGCATAGCATTTGCATTTAACCTCCACACATCCTCCCATGTACATTCAAGTTATCACTGCATTATTTATCACACCTAATGTAATGGAAGTGGCATATCGTTGTTACAGAGTTGCAGGGCTGGAGAACCTTTTCTCTGCAAAGGGCCATTTGGATATTTATAACATCATTTGTGGGCCATACAAAATTATCCTTACAGCAGATGGTGGCAGGCAGCCAATAAAAGCATATGAGAAGAATACATGTCTGTTCCATCACGTACCAAGTGATCTTGAGGGCCTTATATAGCCTGTACGCCAGACATTCCCCACCCTTATGTTGTTTAGGGAATAGTAACAAGAAAATAGCCTATACATGTTCAATACAAATATTTTTTTCTTTCACATATTTGCTGTCTGTTGTCAACTGACTATAGATACAGAGAGCAACTCTGTTGAGTTTTGCTCACCCTGGAAAAAAAGAGATGCCTTCTTGTAACTGGCCATTTGCTACCCCCCACAAGGACATCTCCCACTAGGCTTACTCCCAATAGTGTAATCTGGCAGTAAGTAGCCACAGACAGTAAAGACAACAACTTAGCTGAAAATGGGATTTTTTTTCCTGTATCAGTGGCATTCATTGAATGGACTAAAAACCTCCTTATGGCCAGTGACTAAATCATACATTGATATATGCCATCAATGCCTATAGGCATAGCTGAAAATCAGTCCTTAGCTCTCAAGAAAAATGGTTCCATCAGAACCGCTGTAAAGGCCCAGGCCTCTGCTGGCTGAGATGACTGAGAGCTGACCATCACCATGTGTTGGTGAGCTCTTTATTGCCCAGTTCTCTCAGAAGTGATTTCAGTACTTTATTTAAAAAATTTTTAAGCTCTACTGCTGAATCTACTTTTATGGGTGTCCTCTAAAAATGTAAGTGATGGAGAAAAGTACAGACATTTTCAGGCTTAATCAGTTCACATTTTTATAGCAAAAATTAGCTTCTGGCTTTTCAGTTATATTGGTTCTTCACTTTCTTAGTTCTGCTGAAACCCAAGTAATAATGTCTAAGACAGGACTGGTTCACTGGGTAGAATTTATAGATTGGGGCCTTGAGACACCTGGATTTGTGAAGATGAACATCTTCACGTTCAAATACGTGTTCATGCTCAGGAGGACTCTAGAGAATATGTGGTCAGATCCCAAAATTTCTCTTCAAATGTACAATAGAAACACATTTCCCATTATAACCAAACACTTCAAAGGTATATAAAGAAAATGAACCGTCTCTCCACCTCCATGCCTCTCTTGCTACTCATTCAAACATGATTATAGTACTGTCAGGTTCCCAGCATCCAAGAGGTCCAAACATCCAGTAAACCAAACTGAAAGTAATGGTTCTTTTTGCGGACATAGATTTGGATATAATTATTTATTTCAGATAATTGTCTTTAAGCCAAGTGTGACTTATTCCAGTAATATGTGCCTGTAAGCTCACCTATATGGGAGGAATAGATAGGAGAGTCTCGGTCTAAGGCCAGTCCTGGGCAAAAACAAGAAATTCTACCCAAAAATAAAAATAAAAAACTAAAGCATATAAGGAGTTTCCGATGTGACTCAAGTGATAGAGCTCCTACCTTGCAAAAGCAAGGTCCTGAATTCAAACTCTAGTACCCCCAAAAAATTTTAAACAACTAGTCATACTTTCTTTCATATTCTCTCATCTTCCCACTTGACTCATAAGGACACATTAAGCCTTATAATTTGCCATGTTATCAATAATGCCCCATTTACTATTCGAGAATTAAAATGGAAGTCGTGATTTTAGTTGTGGTCTCTGTGATGAAAGGTTAAGGTTGGGGGATATGCTTAGGAATCATCCCCTCTGTAGAGGCCGGTGGTTGCCAGCTCCTAGAAACTGCTTCATTTAATCACTCTAAACTCTGAATAAACCCTGAATATGTTATTGCCATTCAGATTCTCTCTAAACCCTGGATATGTGAATGGCATTCCATCTAAATCCTTACCACAGTAACATCTACAGGTTCAGGCCTGAGGCCCTGGAAGTCAGGTTGGAGCATGTCCCCAGTGTAACTTTGACCCTCAGGGCTGCCACTACTTTTGTTTTAGTTCCATTTTCTTTAGAAAAAAGCATCTTGTAAAATAATGCAAATATGAAGTGCAAAACTCTCTGATGAGAAAATGTAGCTCTAAAGGCATTACTGTAGTTTATTAGTTGTTGAGTAGGATTTTGTCAGCCTTCTTTATATGCTCTCTGTTCCCTTTGAAGCCCCTTTTTCTCTTGCTGCCCTACTCATGATTGGAGACAGGCACTCTGACAAATTGATCCCAAGATCAGAGGGATGAAAGAGAGAAAGATCAAAAGCAAGCCAAGAATCACATAGGAAGAGTGTAGGGACTGGGCACATTGGCAGCCACACTGTCATCTTTAATCCATGGGTGTCTCAAAAAGGAAGAACTTAGTAGTTCAAACAAAAGTGAAGAGTGTTCTGCACATAGATAGATTTGGTATCATTTTCTATCTAAGAAAACACTCAAGTGTTATACCTAAAGTTATATTGGAATTCAATGCAACCACTTCATAGGTGAGTTTAAAATTTGGAAACAAAGTGTGATGCTGGCTGCTGCCCTTGTTGTATTCTCCTTCTCTCAGCTCTAAGAAGAAGAGCCCTGCCCATTTGTCCTTTTCCTTCTTGTCCCTTCTCAGCAGTGACATACTCTGAGACCAAACCAATGAGAAAGCATATAGGTTTTTGAGGTTCTGGACTATATATAATTAATAAAGCTGCTACTAAGAAGTCTTGCTTATGGCCTTCATGACTAGATACTCATCTACCCAAGTCCAGCTCGCTCTTTATCCATGTATGTACTTATCTCTCAGCAAACTGCTGTTGCCTGTCACATGCCAGGCATTGAGCACTAGAGACTCAAATACAATGACTTAAGCCCCATTGGGAAAATTTCTTTAGGGTTGGTAGCGAGCCATGGAAGCCAACCATTGCAGGCAGGACTTGTAAGGGCATAGCTAGGTATGGGACCCTGTGAGGTCGCAGAGAAGGACAATGAAGGTCACTAGAGGGACAATGGAGAACATTTAGAGCTGACTCAGAGGACCAAATTGGCCATTGGAAAGGAGAAGTAGAATGAAAAGAGCAGCAAGAATAAGGCTAAATCTAGAAACATAGGCCAAAATATTATGGCAAGAGGCCTCTTTCTCCTAGAGTCACTTTCCCTAATTTTTGTCATTTCTTATTAATTTGTCTTCTGGAGTCATAAGTTCTTTAAAGATACCCACACATGCAAGGTTTTATTGTCATGTCCTGCCCTTTCTATATCCCTCTACCGGTTCCTGTGATGGCAGCAACTGGGCACAGGTGGGAAGGAGTTGGGAGTAAGGTGGCAATAGCGGTGGCCATTTATAGAAATTGTTTCCAAGTCAGGAACTCCCTCTTCTGTTGGCAAGGAAGAGCACCCAAGGGTTTTCTAGCACAAAGAAACAGCATCCTCGGGCTGGGAAGGTAGCTCAGTGGTAGAGCGCTTGCCTTGCATGCATGAGGTCCTAGGTTCGATTCCTCAGCACCACATAAGCAGAAAAAAAAAAGCCAGAAGTGGCTCTGTGGCTCAAGTGGGAGAGTGCTAGCCTTGAGCTGAAGAGCTGAGGGACAGCGCCCAGGCCCAGAGTTCAGGGCGAAAGAAAGAACGAAAGGAAGGAAGGAAAGAAAAGAAAGAGCATTCTCTAGAATCTGCCAGGTCTACCCTAGAGCTGAGCTCATCAAAGGCATTTCCCATGTTTGTAGAGCCTTGCTGAGAAGTGTGACAGATCTCAGATCTCTAGCTCCTGGTACCAGGGAATTGCTAGATTCCTATAAACTGCAATTGCAATTCTCCAAGATATTTCCATTTGTCAACCTTTTGCTGTAACCAATCAATAGATGGCTAGAAAATGGCCATCAGAAACCACTTCAGAATTAGAAGATATGAAAGCAGAAGTCACTGCTACCACTAGGCCCAGGAAAGACTGTTGCCCGGCTATCAATCTGACAGCCTCTTTCAGATATCAAGAGGTATCTCTGGGGAACTCTGTTGTCTCTAAAGTCCTTAAGTCAGCAATAGCTCTTTGACACATATTTTTAGAGTGTATGAATTTTCTGAGCCTTAAGAGTAGCTTTTCCTGGACTCAAGATTTGCCCTAGAAACTTAACAGTCTACATCAGATGACCTCAGATTCTAATGTACTTATGAATTGCCTAGGGAAATCTTACTACAATGAAGATTTTGGTACAGTAAGTCTGGATAGAATCCGAGATTCTGTATTTCTTCCCAATTCCCAAATGAGGCCAGTGTTGCTGGCCTTTGAGTAACAAAGGTCTAGAGAGAGAGATCTTTGGAGTAACAAAGGTCTACAGTAGTACTGTGTACATCATTAGACATTAGCTAGTGGGATGACTGAAACTTAATTAGATAACATTGTAAGTTTAGTTCCTTGCTGTATTAACCACATTTCAAATGCTCAGTGTCTGTATGTGGCCAATGGCTACCATATTGGACTGCACAGATAAGAACATTACCATGACCATGGAAGGTTCTCTTGTACAATCCTGGAATGGAATGAGCATCATTTGCATTATTCATTCCTTTATTCACTTATTTACTGAGCATTTGTTATATACTGAGTAGTATGGTTCCAGCTAGAGGGAAAAGTGGAGTTATCATAAGCTAGTTAAAATCATAAGCACCGAAAATAGCATAAAATAAAATAGCATCCAGAGTGGGCAACTATGAACTCTGTCATGAAGATGGCAAGAAAACACAGCTCCTGGCATGGTGTATGTTCTGAACCAAGATATGGTTGTCACAATGTCAGAGAACTTATGAGATTACATTTTTAATTTCAGGGCCATAATCATCAGGAATGGAGAGATCATCCCCATGTCCTCAGAATTCACCCCTGAAACTGAACGCCAGCGACTTCAGTACCTGGTAAGAATCATGTACTTGGAAGGAACAGGCCCACAGCAGTCAAATAACATATGGTATTAACTCCCCCATATATACCTCCTGTATCACATATCCTGGCTCTGTGTGTGACAACACCCTCCATCTCCATCAATGTATTACTGTATCTGATTTTCTTCCATCTGCAATAAGTTGAAGACATAGTGTGCTGCTGATTTGAATTGTTTGGTGTATGCTTTTCTGTAGGCTGAAGTTCTGAAGGTCTGATACTCACTTTAATCATGTTGGAGTCACTTCCGGTCATGTTTCAGGGAAGATCCTCTGCCCTTGTGACAGCTTGGAGATCCCTTCCCATCATACCATGACCTCAGAATCATTTGAAAAGTTCAGAGTCCTCTGGGGAGTACTCAAGATTCTGTCCTGAAAATAACTTTGCTCTGTAGTTCATTCACTTTAGGGAAAAATTATTGGAGGTACTTTAAGGGAGCTTTGCTTCTCTCAGAAACCTTTCATTGCTGGGAAACAGAACAAACTCAGCCTCCCTGTCCTCATTTTATAGGGGCAGAGTGTTAGCGTAAGGTCTCAGTTAAAGATGCTGGTGGCTCATGGCCATAATCCTAGCTACTCAGGAGACTGAGATCTGAGGGTCATGGTTCAAAGCCAGCCTAGACAGAAAAGTCTGAGAGACGCTTATCTCCAATAAACTGCTCTGAAAAAGCCAGAAGTGGCACTGTGGCTCAACTGGTAGAGCATTAGCCTTGAGCAAAAGAAGCTCGGGGACAACTCCCAGGCAGAGAGTTCAAGCCCCAGGACGGGCAAAAAATAAAGGGGCAGGGGGCAAACACAGTGGTACTCATCCCAAGTCACTTTGGGGTGAACATCTCTGGAGACTAACCCTGTGAAAAAGTGTAGGAAGTACTTTCTTACCAATTGGATTTCTTTTTTAAATAGCAAAGGTCACCTGGTGACTCTACTGCCTACCTAATGAGGAAAGAATTGATCTGTGCTGTTTACAAATGGCTGTTTATGTCTCTGAATTTCAGTAGGTATAAATGGCCTCTGGCTGATATAGAGGGTAGTTATGTACTTTTCCTCTGTGTGTGTGTGTGTGTGTGTGTGTGTGTGTGTGTGTGTGTATGTGTGTATGCACACACACACACCCATCCATGTACATTTTATTTTATAACAAAGCTGTGTTTCTGTTGTCCTCTGGTATATAAGACAACATGATTTCCAAACCAGTGTAAAAACAGCACTTCGCCTTTACCTACTGTTGTTTCCTAAACTTTCTGGTGTTCTTTTCAAGCAAATAAGCTCAAAACCACTAGTAGGGAATCTAGGCATGTGGAAAGAATTCTGCAGTATCCCACAAACATCTTTATTTTAGAACCTGGGTCTTATTCCCAAGTTGGATAGCCTTGTGAAAGACTTAGCTTTCTAAACGTTGGTTTGTCACTTATAAAATAGGTAGACAAAAGGGTCACCAAAGATCTTTGAGTTGCAAAGGTAGATTTCCTAACAGCTGACCTTTGTGACATTTGGCTGGCTTCCACTAGTCTGTCATCCAAGGCTGTTGCAAGTGATCTTAGCAGGGACCTTGTCATGCTCTACCTAAAAGCCTTTGGCTACCTACAACATACAGAATTCATGCCACACTTTTTGACACACTCAGAATCCTGCTCACCTTTCCAAAACACTGTCACCACTGTCAATGTTACTCTATATCCCATGTGTGTCACGCACACTCTGACCTCCGGGCCTTTGGAAATAATGGTCGGTCTAGGTGGCATTTCTATTCTCTGCCAAGAAGGTCTTCTCTTGTGAGATCTCAGAAGCAATAACTTACCTTGGGAAGGGTACCCTAGAGGGTCAGTTCCCGGGGTTTGTTCATACAGCAACATCTAGAGACCTGCGGCGCAGCTCTCACTGTATATACTAATTGTTTTCCAGAACGCTGGTCCTATCTCTGGATTGAGTTATAAAAAGCATATTCCTTACATTAGTCACCTCAGAGAGCCAGTACCCAGCACAGCCACCGCACAGAGATTTGGAATCAATGAAAGATCAATGAATGATTGCCTATCAATACCAAACATTATGCCCTTCTAAGCACATTACAGCAAGGCATGAGTCCTTTGGCTCTCCTGTACCCACTCAAAAGCCACTCCCCACCAGGCACCAGTGGCTCATGCCTATAACCTCAATGACTCAAGAGACTGGGATCTGAAGATTGCAGCTCAAACTCACCCCTGGCAGGAAAGTCTGTGATGGCTCTTATCACCAGTTAATCACAGAACAAGCCAGAAGTGGCATTTTGTTTCTGTGGTACTGAGGAATCGAACTCAGGGCCTCATGCATGTTAGGCAAGCACTGTACCACTGAGCCACCTTCCCAGCCCTCTGTGCTCTTTATTTTGCAATCATTTTTGTTACAAGAATGAACATACAAGGCTCACTGTTAAGAAGGAATGGAAATGTTAAAAATTACCCAGATTCCTTGCACATTAGAAAGATAATTTGGGATGTCTGGAATAAGGTGAATCTCAGCTTTTTCACAAAACTGTCTATAATTCCCACAAGGCTCTTCACTGATCCCCAGTCATGAGTTGGTGAGATAGGATGCCTTGGAAAACTTTGTAGGAATTAAAGACAATAACATGCAGAATTGGTTTGTGGCACACAGTTTTTTAGCCATTCAAATGAATCTTGAACTGTGTGGACTGCTATACCAAAATACTACCAATTGGGTGGCTTATGAACCAGAGAAACTTTTTACAGATCTGGAGACTCAGTAGTTCAAGATAATGGCAAGGGCTGATTCATTGTCTAGTGCTGGCTCATAGAAAAACATCTTTTCTTTGCCAAAAAGACAAAGATGCTCTCTAGAGCCTCTTTCCAAGGGTGCTAAAATCCCACTCATGAGAGCTGTATGGTTGTCTGGATAGCCTTATGATCTAATCATCTCCCTGGGCCTCTCACACCCCAGTGCTATCACCTTAGAGATCTGGTTCTAACACATGAATTATGAGAGTATATGAATAGTCTGTTTCTCCTACTCTCTGCAAAATCATTTATTTAGAAGCCAATTGCAATGATTTTATATTAAAATGTTTTGGAGTCTCTCTTAAACATTCAGTATGGATATTATTAGCCTACAGAGCTTGATGTTTGAATTTGCAGAACACTCTATATTTTCTTTGATCTTCACTAGAAATCACATAGGTTTCTCAAGTTCATTACTAAAACTTTTCACTCAGAAATTAGGAACAAAAATGCTGAGAATATAAATTGCCTTAATTGTCCAACTTCTTATTTCTTCAGGAATCTAAGAATGTTGTTTTGAAATGCCCAGATCCAGTGACAAAAATCACATGACATGAATGTTTGATACAAAGTATTTGAGAGAATTAGAATATCTATAGCATAAAATAATCTTAAGGTAAAAAACAGTACTTGTGAGAATTAGATTTCTAGTCAAAAATCATGAAACTAGTTTCAACTATCAGAGAAAAATCAGAGTGCAGTGTGGTGTTCTCTCTGCCTCTCCTAGTCATGAGCTGATTTTAGTCCCCTCATACAGTGTCTCTCAATCACCTTTTCTCTTGAATTAAACAAAAAGTAATATTTCCCTTGAGATATGCATAGCACGTTCTGAAATATAAATGGAAGATAATCCTATGGCAGTGTAAAACACAGATGCACCTCAGCTTACACTGTGATTACGTACCTATTAGCCCATCAATAATTGAAAATAGCTTAAGTCAGAAATATATTTAACACACCTAACTTACCAAACACCATAGTTTAGCCTTGCCTAATTTTAAAAATGCTCAGAACACTTATATTAGCCTATAACTGGGCAAAATCATTTAATACAAAGCTGACTTTATGACAAAATGTTGACTATCTCAGTAGTATATTGCATACTTACTAAAGTGAAAAACAGTATGGTTGTATAGATATGCTTTCATGCTCTTGTAAAGACCATTATGTCCAACCATAGTAAAGCCAAAGATCATGTGCATATTATCTTATGCTTTTAGATGCATCCACTCCTATTGCTCATTCTTTCAAGCATCCATCACTGGAACTAATTGTCAAAGTTCAGTGTAATGATAGTTGTAGTATCCTGTTCCCTTTTGTGATCTCACTCAGCACATTGCTGGAAAATCAACAATGTATTCCCTATTCTTAGGTCAGACCAAATTTTATGGTTATAGTGTGTGAAGAAACATTTATGTTAGAATCATTAAAATTTCTAGGTCCCTTGCCACTTGTTTTGAGCAGATGTCTGCAGTCCCAAGGCTGTCTGACTTGTGGAAGTGGATAATGGTGTTTGGGGTGGGGAAAATGGTCAGAGCCCTTTGTACATGAACCATTTTTAGTAAGGTTTTTTTTTATTGTGAAAATACCGTACAAAGGGGTTACAATTACATAAGCAAGGTAATAAGTACATTTCTTAGCAAGCATTGTTGCTTCCTCCTTTGTTTTTCCCCTACTATCCCTGCCCTCCCATCTCCATAACTACATTCCTCCCCCCCCCACACACACACACACATGAACCATTTTGATCTGCATCAGAAAGGAATGTTCTTGGTATGCATAGTCGGGACATTCAGGAATTATAGAACTGGAAGCCAGTTGCCCGATGATGGATGTGGCAGGCATGTTAATTTTATTTGGTCTTGCATCCTGACTTCAGAGGGTCCTTCACACTGCTCTTGAGTAACGCAACTTTGTTTCATAGATTCTCACACAGGGTGATTAATTAACCGGGATTGTAGATTTGACACCTTCACACAAAATGTGGCAGTTGTGTGATTGTGGGGGTCGGGGCCCTGTACTTCTGTCCCAGCAGCCACGTAGAGCCGAAGATCCTGCAGGCATGAATAAGCTTTGCACTTCTATAGCTGGGCTTAAAAAAATGTTTACATGGTGATTGAAATAAAACATATTAGGAGTCAAGACTGAACTAGGAGAGAAGGAGTCTGATTTGTAGGTGTTTCTCAGCAGAACTGACTGCTC